GTTTTTCTTTCAATGGTCCTCAACCGCCATGCAAGGTATCCCGAACCACTCTTTGGATCGTAGTAATGTTCCTGTGTAATTAAATACATGCATACTGAATATGCTATCAACATTTCTAAGGGCAATTATGTGTTTAATGTTGTAAGGACCCTTTTACTTACATATCCATGTTGTGAATATGGGTCTTCCAGATACGGAAACAGAGCAACTGTCCCCTGTGCATACATCACTCTGACACTTTTAGGGGTGGAATGTCCTAATGTATGCATTAAATGATGACCATCACTCAATTAGACAGTGACTATATAAATAATAAAAATGTTTCTTCATAACCTACATGTATGATTCTTACCCATGTGTTAGTGTCATCTCAGCGGCAAGTATGTTTATCATCTGTCTTCTGGTGGCATCTTTCAGAGATTTGGTTTTTGCATACTCTTTCATGATGTGTTCACCGCCAGGCTTTGTTGTTAGGATTTTTTCAATCAACTTAAAAGAGAAATCAAATATGCAGTTAGAAATGTTTTAACCATTTGTAAGACTGGAATTGATTAAAAACACTTCCCATCAAATGGAATAAAGTCCGGATTAGACTTAACAACAGTGTCCACTACCCACCGCTTTTGCCTCATAGTTTATGTGGCATGGCTTTTTAGGTTGACTTCCTTCCACAGCGGCTGCTTCTTCAGAAGGATAGTATCGTCAGATGCTGTTGAGCATGATGATGATGATGACGACAGAGAAGCATCTGTGCATTAAGGAATATAAAAAAAAAACAAGCATATTAAAAGGAACTGTTAATGTTCCCATCCCAAACTTTAAGTTTAATATGAACACAATTGTGAATTTTGTTCTTCATTGCCCAACATGACTCGGAAGGTTCCAGGTGACTCCTTCACTATTTCTTCAAAAACCTCTGCGTCAACGTCTGTCTGACTGGTCATACGCCTTCATATGTAGCTGCCTATCTTCTGGTATGTTAAATTTTTGGCGCACTGAAGTAAAAGGAAAAGAATATTACAGAAATTGTTACAAATTTTGAAAACCATTTCCTTTTGATGAGAATCAAAGCATTAACTAAATGGAGTAAGCCTCATGTCTTCACAAAATGCTGTTGAGTTGAAGCTGAAGTCAATGGGTAATTTACAACAGTAGAAACAATGATCAACTTAGGTAGTTCAGAAGAAATGGTTTTAATGATGAATCAGTGTGCATTAACCAAGCAAAAAGTTGTGGTATTATTTTGTCCTGATGTACCAACTAACCCTCTGTCATGAAGGCATTGAATATTAGCTCAGACAGCCTAACATACTTCTGCTCCCCGCCAAACAAAACACGCAGCAGCATATTCTATTAAACAAAGGGAAAAAATAACAACCAAGAATTAATAGAGGGGGGGGGGGGTGGTTTCGCTAAGAAAATGGCGAAAAACCAAAGACCCCGCCGACCTTAAGGGCTACCAATTGCTCCGATCCCCCCTTCTCAACAAGCATCAGTGCTGCCAAAACTGCGTTCTATAATGACAGAATAAGCAGTGCCACTGACTCAAGGAAATTATTTTCCACTTTTAAAGCGCTACTAAATCCTCCTCCACCTCCACCACCCACAAACTTGTCTGCTGATACCTTTACTGCCTTCTTCACAGGCAAAGTGGAGGCTATAACTAGCCAATTCTTTGAAACACTCAAACTCAACCATTGTAGCAGTCCTACTACATCTTTTCCCCTGCTCTTCCAGGTCAGTGGTTGTTCACTCTCATTGTTTACTCCTCTCACAGAGAGCGAAGTATCAGAACTCTTGACCCGTAGCCGTCCAACTACATGCCCACTGGACCCGATTCCTACGAATCTCCTCCAAGCCATATCTCCTACTGTGGTCCCGACAATCACTCATGTGATAAATACTTCTCTGGCTTCAGGAACCTTCCCGACCACTTTCAAAAGGGCTCAGGTTACACCCTTGCTCAAAAAGCCCTCACTTGACCCAACTCAAGTTGAGAACTATCGACCAGTGTCTGTTCTACCTTTTCATCCAAAACTATTAATCGGGCAGTATTCAAACAGGTCTCAGAATTCCTCTCACAGAATGACCTCCTAGATTCATGTCAGTCTGGTTTTAAGAGTGCCCACTCTACTGAAGTGGCTCTTCGGTCTGTAACAGAAGCCCTAAGGTCAGCTAAAGCTGCAGCCCAATCCTCAGTTCTTATCTTGCTTGACATATCAGCTGCCTTTGACACAGTCAACTACAGGATCCTGCTATCCGCTCTCTCAGCAATGGGCATCTCGTGTAAAGCACTCCTGTGGTTCGAATCCTACCTCTCGGGGCGTTCCTACAAAGTTTTGTGGCAAGGACAATTATCCTCCTCCCACTGCCTCTCGACAGGGGTGCCCCAAGGCTCAGTGCTTGGGCCCCTTCTCTTCTCAATTTACACCACCTCACTGGGGCAGATCATTCGCTCGCACGGCTTCTCGTACCACTGCTACGCAGATGACACGCAACTCTACCTATCCTTCCCGCCAGGCGATCCCACTGTCTCGGCGCGGATCACGGACTGTCTATCAGACATATCTGCATGGATGAAGGCTTGCCACCTTTAACTAAACCTCTCTAAGACTGAACTCTTGGTCATTCCAGCCAAGCAATCTATCCACCATAACATCAAACTACAAACTGACTCCGCAACCATCACTCCAACCAAGGTGGTGAGAAACTTGGGTGTCATGATTGATGACCAGCTGTCCTTTTCAGACCATGTTGCTGCTGTCTCTCGGTCATGCCGCTTTGCTCTATACAACATAAGGAAAATCAGGCCCTACCTCACTCAGTACGCCACCCAGCTTCTGGTACAGGCCATGGTTATCTCTCGCATCAACTATTGCAATGCCCTCCTAGCAGGTCTCCCAGCTTGTGCGGTGAAACCCTTAGAAATGGTTCAGAACGCAGCAGCGCGTCTGGTTTTTGATCAGCCCAAAAGGACTCATGTCACTCCATTACTCAGTGACCTCCACTGGCTCCCTGTGGCCTCCAGAATCAAATTCAAGTCACTAATGCTTGCATACAGAGTGACTACTGGGTCTGCACCCATCTAACTAAACTCCATAATACAAACTTACGTTCCTTCTCAGCCGCTACGCTCCTCCAACGAACGCCGCCTGGCTCTGCCATCCCTTCACACAAAGCAATCCCATTCCTGGCTATTCTCATCTGTGACACCACGATGGTGGAATGAGCTACCACACGCCATTTAGAGCAGGGGCATCCCTCTCTAACTTCAAGAAGCTCTTGAAAACTCATCTCTTTCGAGAACACTTTCTTTTATAACACCTCTAACTCCTAACCTCTAACATGCACTTCCTGTGCTCTTCTTCTTCTATCCCCTACAATGATCTTGTATTGATTGCACTTTTTGTTAACTCTTACTTCCTTCCCTAGGTATCTACCCCATTGATGTGATATGTACTGTGAGCTCTTACTAGTATATATGTCAGTTGTAGATCTGTAGTTGATGCTCTGTTGATGCTTTTATGTTGTTCCTCAAATGTAAGTCGCTTTGGATAATAAGCGTCTGCCAAATGAGTAAATGTAAATGTACTAACGTTGGCGATCAGCTTTGCTGGCGATTTGCATTTTTATAAACAATAATTAACTTTATATAATTTTACAATACAAGAGGCAGCACATATTCATACCTCATCAGCATTCAGAAAAAATATGTAACGTTAGTTAACATGTTAACGTTACATTGGTGCATCTTAACCCTATGTCAACATGTCGAACTTCTGAACTGCTAGCAACATGTTAGCATATAGCCTAGCCACTTGACAATATCAAACAGAAGGGTACATGTTGCCAACATGTCCTCAGTCGACATCTATGAAACTGTGTTGAGATGAAAAACAATTATTTAACGATATTGCAAACATGGGAATGTTAACTTTACTTACCAGACGGTGACTCCACTCCAGTAAACCAGCACAGCATCGGATCCCTCATGCACACTGGAGGCGTGCGTAATCATCACTCTATAGAGTTGAATTTTTCACTGCAGGTCTTCTGAATTTTACACTGACTTTTAACTCTACTCTTTGAGTTGGTTTACTCTCCATATAGTTGTAAATACTCTGTGTAGGTTAAAATAGGTTGACACTGAAATATTGACACTTTTTTTTTGTGTAGTGAATATTCTCTCTGACTAATCAGCAGTCTGTCTGTTTTTGCGTTACATTTTAGTATCCCTCAGCTCGCTTGGAACCTCCATGGAGGTGAGGTGATACAAAAAAAGTACCTGGAAGCAGGTACAGGTACAAAATTTCTACAATGGAAAACCAAACAAAGGCGAGTCCAGCCAAAGGGCCTCCGCTCAGACTAGCTTGGTTTGAGGGTGTGCCTGACCCCGCTAGTTGCTTGGCAAGCTTTATGATGCGTTTTCATTGTGACTCCACAAGTAAAGGAAATGAAGGGCTGGACTACAAATGAGCTGTTTTCAAGCGGTTCAGAGCAGTGCTTTCTTTGGGAGATGGGAACTCCCTTTGGGCTGGACTTTGGGCTTTTTCACATTGCAAATCTGTTACATGCACAAAAAAAGACATATAACTCAATAAAGGAGAAGGGAAAAGCTAAAAAGCACAATACCACCTCTTTAAGACACACCTGCTAAGTTGCCAAATAAAGACAGAAGAAGGTCATGTAATGACATAATGAACAGATTTTTAGTCCAACATGTTTGATTTCATATTAATTGTAATCTTGTTCATGCTTTACATATTTCTGTGTTTTGCTGAATGACAAACAAAGGAATGTTGTATCTTGATCCTCCACATTTTAAACCTGAACGCATCTGATCGGATTAGAAATGGATTTTTATCTCCATCATTTATTCTTTATTCAGATTGAGGGACTGCAGTTTGTCAGAGATCAGCTGTGCTTCTCTGGCCTCAGCTCTGAAGACCAACCCCTCCCATCTGAGAGAGCTGGACCTGAGCCACAACAAGCTGCAGGATTCAGGAGTGAAGCTGCTATGTGGTTTTCTGGAGAGTCCACACTGTAGACTGGAGAATCTGAGGTCAGTTCAGACTGTTAAACCCATTTACACCTGGTATTAAAATGAGCTCTGTGTCCAGATACATTATACGGAGAATAAATGATTCGTCTTGCCTTTGCGTTTACAACTGGTATTTTTAATGTGTTCTCATTATCCTCATTGAGATCGGCTCTGTTCATGAAGGACAAAAGTTACATTAGATTTATAAAATGAATATGTCAAGTATAAGTCAAACTAGATGTATTGGTCATTCCATGTTCCATATCCCTGCCCCCCAAACCTTTTTTATCTGAATATGTGCCACATATGTCAAGCAGATCCAAAACGATAGGAAGGCAGACCTCTGTGTTACGAACATAGAATTAAACGTGTCGTACAAAACTATTTTGTTAAACTATTTTGTATTTTATTGACTTTTCAGGAAAGCCATGTCGCTCTAAGAACAAAACCAAATATTCCCAGCAGACGCTGGGAGAAGCTTTGTCAGAGTCTTGATTGATGAACACAACATTGTCTTTTTTTTCTTTCTAATGTTTTGTTTTTATTAAGAGAGGGTCTAATATTATTATTAGTCTTTTGCGGCCCTGGACAAAACTCACTATAATAGTCACTATGGGTTACATCAGGAATAGTCTCCTGGACATGATGGATGCTTACATTTTGTAATGATGATTTAAATTTGAAATCTGTCTAATATATGTTTATACTTGCTCTCCTTTAGGATGACAGAAATGACAGGTTCTCTCCACAAATTAAAATAATTTAACATAGTCATCTCTTCTCTGAAAATCTTATACCACTCAGTTGGTAGACCGTGACTTCCTGGTGTTTATACAGTATATTTTCTGTGACATGTAGTCCACTGTTGTGAAATAACATGAAGACACAGAAGCAACTAAACTCCTTAAAATTTATTCCATGTAAGCAATGTATTTATTTGGAAAAACCAACAATATGACTTTGAGTGAATGTTGGCATATGAATGCGTTCAAGGTGGGACTGTTATCAAACTTGTCAAACTTGGTACAGATGTGACAATGTGACAATTCAAAATGGCCGACTTCCTGTTGGTTGTTGACCTGCCTGCCGTGTATTCAAAGTTTTGTACATTTTCATGAAGGTTTAGGCCATCAAAAATGAAATGTGTTTACAGAAATATTTCCCCAGGTTACTATTGAAGTTAATATGCCATGACTGGGAATCAAAGCATTGATCTTTGGATTTGCAGGGCAATGCCTTAACCACTGGACTATTGAGACATAGTGCTTAAAGTGTGTTATTAACCTTTTCACTTCAGTGTGTTTGGTCACATATGTTGTAACATGTTGTGCATGGGGTTGGTCTAAGCACAGAACCTCGTGGAAGTCCGTGACTAGCATGTCTATCTGTTTGGACACGAATCAGCAGTTGGAGGGTATTGCATGTTTGAATTTTTTAACTCAGGGATTTATTCTATAAGCTGAATAGACACTTGATAAAAATACTTCTTTTGTGAGTTCTGTTTTCCCAATGGATCCTCATCTTGGCAGGATATTAGATGTATTTGTTTCTCTTTTGTCTTTGTACTCACTGAATTTTTTGCTTGCCTCTGTATCAAACTTGTGTGCACAAGTGATCTTATTTATCATAATTTATTCTTTATTCAGATTGAGTTACTGCAGTTTGTCAGAGATCAGCTGTGCTTCTCTGGCCTTAGCTCTGAAGTCCAACCCCTCCTATTTGAGAGAGATGGAGCTGAGTCTCAACAAGCTACAGGACTCAGGAGTGAAGCTGCTGTGTGGTTTTCTGGAGGGTCCACACTGTAGACTGGAGACTGTGAGGTCAGTTCACTGACCTTCTGTTACTATTGTAAATCTGATATGTTTAATTAACAATTGAATGTAATTTCTGTTCATACATAATTTCCATCCATAAAGTTGTAAATGTACTTTGGTTCATATTTTCATGTTTCTTGCACTAAATTTTCTAAGTCATGAATTATCCATAATGGACACCATGTTGAAACACAAGGATGCTCATAAGTCTATGTATTACCAGAGCACCCTAAACCGAAGATCGATATATTTTGTGAACAATGTCATCTGATCTGAGGCCACATGTTTCGGACACTCGAATGAAGACAAGGGCAGTGCCGTAAACTGATCACCATCTGGTGGTGAGTTGGTTCAGGGGGTGTGGGAAGACTCTGGACAGACCAAGCCTAAACAGTAATTAGAGGGAAACAGTGAATGTTTGAAGGAGGTCCCTGTCCGATAGATCTTCAACTCACAGCTTTGGCAGAGCTTTTCTGGCATCCCTGTGGAGTTTGGGGGCATTGAAACTGAGTGGGGAGGGTTCAAAGCTTACATTGCTGAAGAATGAGGCAAAGCAGCGGGTGTGGGAGAAGTCTGAAGAAGCCATGGAGAAGGACTTTATTTATTTATTAATTTATTCTTTATTCAGATTGAGTTGCTGCAGTTTGTCAGAGATCAGCTGTGCTTCTCTGGCCTCAGCTCTGAAGTCCAACCCCTCTCATCTGAGAGAGCTGGACCTGAATCTCAACTACAAGCTGCAGGATTCAGGAGTGAAGCTGCTGTGTGGTTTTCTGGAGAGTCCACACTGTAGACTGGAGACTCTGAGGTCAGTTCAAGGACTCTCTCACCACATTTACACCTGGTATTAAATCAGCTCTGTGTCCAGATACATTATCCGGAGAAGAGATGATGCAGTCTTGCCATTGAGTTTACACCTGGTATTTTTAATCATCTTATTATCCTCACTGAGATCAGATCTTTGTCCTCCAGAGCAAAACCTGCATATGAGTAATTTGAGGTGCCAACAAAATCAATCAAAGATTCCCTTAAAACGTTTGTGTGAGTTGTTGATTTAGGGGAAGCTTTGTACACTTTGTGATACGTTGTTTAAAACAAAAAATTATTATATTCTTCCCTCATAAATTTGGCAAATGCAATAAGTTAAGTCCTTTTTTTGGATAAAAAATATTGTCATATTGTACTGTGTGTTCTAGAGCCCGACCAATCGGTGTGCTGATATTATCGACCAATATGAGCTAATGCAGATAAAACTGGATCACTGTTTATAATAGTCATTTAATAACAGTTAAAAAAGAAATGGAGAGACAGATCCTTCACTCATGTCATGAGAATTCTATAGTTTGCCCACCAGAGGGCTCTGAAACTCCCCTGTTAACAACACTGCCTACCACAAAACAAAACAATCAGCTGACCAGAGTCTACCAGATAGTGATGGGAAGTTTGATTCTTTTTACTGAATAAAATCTTTGAATCTTGTTCAGTATAATGGACTAATCTTTTATCAAGTAATTTTGTTCATTTCTTTTATTTGAACTAGTCTGGTTATTGCAGCGCTATAGCCCCCTTGTGGGCAATGAAAAAAGTAGCTAGATTCTCAAACACTGAAGACTACATAATGAACTTCAGTCGAAAAAGTATGATACACAAAATTACTTCATGATCATTCTCTTTTTTTCTGCAAAGTAATCTCATTTTTGGGGACCTAAAAATGCTCAAAAACTCACCAAACTTTGCACATAATTTAGGCACGGTGAAATATTTTGTAGCTTATGGGTCTCGCACATGCATGTGGGAAAATACAGAGCATCCCCATTATCCCCCGACATTTTTTGTGGTAGAAACATATGCAGACATATAAAAAAACCTCTTAGAGCAATGTCCCACACCCAACAGGAAGTCGACTATATTGGATTTAATGGTCATTTTTGGCATTTACACACTTCATACTTTAACAAACTCCTCCTACAGAATTAATCTGATCCGCAGTGAGTTTTTGTCCAGGGGTCAAGTCCTGAACACATGTACATTCCAATATTCACCCATAGTCACAGCGCCACCTGCTGGCAACAAGAAGTGACCTTTAACTTAGCAGTCCTCGTGGCACGTTTCACCTACATGTATGAAATTTCTGTGGCACATGTATCATGTCCAGATGTACTAAAAAGCCTCTTGGAGCGATGCCCTAAACCCAACAAGAAGTCGGCCATTTCTTCAAATTTACCAATGCATGCCAACAAGCCTCCCTGGCTTTGTTGGCGTACACGGTGTTAGATTTAGCCATTAAAGTATCTTATCATCGGGCATTCTTCTGGGGAAAATACAGAGCATGCACCATTGTGCGGCCAAGAACACCTCTACTCATTTTAGTAGTAATGTTGAGCTCCATATTTAAAACATGAACACATCTGCTTGGATTAGAAATGGATTATTATCTCCATCATTTATCCTTTATTCAGATTGAGGGACTGCAGTTTGTCAGAGATCAGCTGAACACATCTGATTATAAGTGGACTTCTTGTCATGGCCGGTGTGTACAGGGAAACATGAATAGGACTCAAATGCAGATGACAAGGCAGACATAGTTCAGGGGTTTATTGATCAAATAACTACAAAATCTTACAGAGTCATTTGGCAGGCAAGGTCAAAACCGGGAATGCAATCCAAATCAAGCGGGAGGCTTCCACTCTGAGAAGTGAGGCCAATGTGGAAGTCCCTTAAACCTGCATTCTATCAACCGGGCAGCAGGGGGCAACTCCTCTCGTTGCAAAAAGAAGTCAGAGTATGCTTCAGGGCGGGAGTATATGTTATTGACAAGTCATTACCATGGCAACCTGTCAATCAAGCAAGAGTGACTCCTACCCACGGCACTGTGTAAATTTAACCAGTGCCATTGAAAAAGCTTATGAGTTGTCTGTTCAACTTCTGTGATGAGTACATTTAGTTTTAAGACTGTCATTCACCAGACAAAGTTATCATCTCTGTTAAAATGACAGTTAACATGAAGTACAAATGCACCTAGCTAAGCAAGCTAGCTACCTCCATACAGAGCCGTTGGCTCCACTGTCTCTTCCAAAAATGGTCACGTCCAGTGTGGCTTGTTCCAAAAAATCAACATGGTGGTGCCCTATCGGCCAAAATCGAGGCTTAAAATGGCTGTCCACAAACCAACGGGTGACGTCACAATGACTACGTCCCCTTCTTATATACAGTCTATGGTCTAAACAGGCAAACAAATCAAAAGGGGTGAACCAAGGATGGAAATCCAAGATGCACATGAACTGCTGATGAGGGAATAAGGTGCAGGTGGACAGATGGGCTAGAGGCTCAGGGAAGGGGCATGAGGTGATTGGAGGGCAAATGGGAGTAGCACGGTCTGGAATGGAAAGAGAAACGTCAGAGAGCATTTGGTGGACTGCTGGAGAGCAGCAACTAAGGGACCTAGGGAAGTGGGTAGGAAAGAAAGAAATGCAGAATGACACTATCTCCATAATGTATTCTTTATTCAGATTGAAGAACTGCACTGTGTCAGACATCAGCTGTGCTTCTCTGGCCTCAGCTCTGAAGTCTGACCCCTCCCATCTGAGAGAGCTGGAGCTGAGTGACAACAAGCTGCAGGATTCAGATGTGCTGCTGCTGTGTGGTTTTCTGGAGAGTCCACACTGCAGACTGGAGACTCTGAGGTCAGACACCTTTTTTTTTTTTTTTTACTTCTGTGAAGGTTGTGGTGACACTAAACTGCAGACAAGGCTGTTATTATAATGATCTACCTTGTTGGGTTCAAGTGTTTGGAGTTTCCATTTTCTAAACTTCCCACATACTAAACCTTCTTCAGCTTTGAACAGATTATTAAACACTGAATTATGTCAAGTAAGAATATTTGACCTCATTCACCAATATCTTCTTATGTTTTTTCTGCAGAATTGTTCGCAGTTGTGTTCTTGAATAATGAATCCCATTGTCTTTGTAAATTGAAAGCGTGTGCTCAACTGACTAAGCGTGTTGACTCATTTCCGTCTCCAGCGCTTGTGTGTTGGTAGCGTGTTTTGCTGCTTTCACTAAATACCAGTTAAATTAGTTAGATTTTTCATTACAGCGACCAGCTGTTTGCTAAACACTTCCAGCAATTCTGTCTAAGCACTCACAGTTCTTTCCATCTTTTAGAGACTGCTGTTTAATCTCATAGTTGTTTTCTGTACTTTAGCTTAGCCGTTAGCAACTTAAGCTAAGCAGCTCGTGATGGCTTTTCCTTTTCCTTCTCCCTCTCGCTCTCCTACATTCTCCTGCTCGGTGTGTCAGATGTTCAGTTACTCCTCTGCCTCCTTTAGCGGTAATGGTACGTGTAACAAGTGTAGTTTATTTGTAGACATGGAGGCAAGGCTCAGTGATTTAGAAGTCTGGCTCCACACCTTGGTAGATCAGTCCTTAGCTACTGTAGCTAGCCAGTCCCCGGTAGTCTGTGCGGAACGGCCTGAGTTAGCCTCTGGTAGCCGTCCCCCGGCATCTCCTGAGCAGCCAGGAAAGGGTGGCTGGGTGAGTGTCCAAAGGAGGCATCGTAAGCATTCAAAGCCCACAGATCACCACTAACCTGTACACATTTCTGACAGATTTTCCCCACTCAGCGAAACACCCGCTGAGAAACCAACTCTGATCATTGGCAGCTCAATTTTGAGAAACGTGAAGTTAGCAAAGCCAGCGGCCATAGTTAGGTGCCTCTTTGTGGCCAGAGTGGGCGACACTGAGTCTTATTTGAAACTGCTGGCTAAGTATACGCCAATCGGAGGTCACTAAGATTAATGTTGAGTCAGTGTGTACATATGCAAAAACAAAGTCAGACACCATAGTTTTCTCTGGACCCCTACCAAATCTGACCAGTGATGACGTGTATAGCCGCATGTCATCATTTCGCCGCTGGTTGTCGAGGTGATGTCCAGCAAACAATGTGGGCTTTGTAGATCATTTGCAGACTTTCTGGGGAAGACCTGGTCTGAAACAGCATTCATCCCACTTGGGAAGGAGCAGCTCTCATTTCTAGAAATCTGGCCAAGTTTATTAGTGGGCCAAATCCATGACAGTCCAGAGTTAAGACCAGGTAGCAAAGTCGCTGTTTAACACACTTCTCGGCTCCTCTAGTGATGGTGTCTGCCCCCCGACCACTGAAGTTATTTAAATCAAAGGTAAACAGAAGAGGAGCTGTGCATAAAAACCTCATAAAAATTAAAACCACAATAGTGCAAAAGAATAGGAGAATCAGATCTCTCTCCTCTAAAGGTGTACTAGTAAATGAATTAATATAATATTACTTTACTTTGTCTTACTGAAACCTGGCTGGGTGATGGAGAATATGTTAGCCTAAATGAATCCACCCCTCCCAGTCATATTAATACTCACATTCCTCGAGGCACAGGCCGAGGAGGTGGAGTTGTAGCTTTCTTCGACTGTAGCCTACTAATCGGCTCTAAACCTAAACTAAATTTAACTCATTTGAAAGCTTTGTTCTTAGTCTTTCACACCCAAGTTGGAAATCAATGCAACCAATTCCATTTGTTACAGTGTACCGGGCACCTGGTCTGTACTCTGAATTCTTATCTGAATTTGCAGAGTTTTTGTCAACTTTAGTCCTTAAAATGGACAAAGTTATTGTTGTAGGGGATTTTAATATTCATGTGGACGTTGAGAATGACAGCTTCAGTACTACGTTTATCTCTCTGTTAGATTCAATTGGCTTCTCTCAGAGTGTTCATGAACCGACTCACTGTTTTAACCACACCCTCGACCTTGTTCTGTTATATGGTATTGAAATTGAACATTTAGTGGTGTTCCCACAGAATCCCTTTTTATCTGACCACTGTTTGATAACTTTTGAGTTTGTATTGCTGAACTACACGCCATTGGGCAAAAATTTCTATAGTAGATGTCTCTCTGATAGTGCTGTAGCTAAATTTAAGTATGTGATTCCATCAGCCCTAAATTCATTATCAAGTCACAAAATAACAGAGTATGATAATTTTAGTCCCTCACAAATCGATCATCTTGTTGATAGTGCTGCAGGCTCGCTGCGAATGAAACTCGACTCTGTTGCCCCTCTTAAAAAGAAGATGATAAAACAAAGGCAGTTAGCTCCATGGTATAATACTGAAACTCGCAAATTAAAGCAAATAACTTGAGAGAAATTGGTGTTCCACCAAACTGGAAAACTCTCATTTACTTTGGTAAGATAGTCTTAAAACTTATAGGAAGGCTCTCCGTAATGCCAGAGCAGCGTACTACACATCATTAATAAAAGAAAATTGGAACAACCCCAGGTTTCTTTTCAGCACAGTAGCCAGGCTGACAGAGAGTCACAGCTCTATTGAGCCAAGTATTCCCATAGCTCTCAGTAGTTACGACTTCATGACTTCATTCTTTAATGATAAAATTCTAACTATTAGAAACAAGACCTGCCCTTAACTGGCACCGACTTACCTCTAAACTCAGGAACCTTAGAAACAGCTGTAAAACCAGATATATGTTTAGACTGCTTTGCTTCCCTCAATCTTTACCAACTAACGTAAATAATTTCTTCATCTAAACCATCAACCTGCCTCTTAGACCCCATCCCGACTAGGTTGCTTAAAGATGTTTTACCTTTAGTCAGCACATCTCTACTAGATATGATCAATCTATCTTTATCAACAGGCTATGTACCACAGTTCTTTAAAGTAGCTGTAATTAAACCTTTTCTGAAAAAGCCCAAACTTGATCTGGATGTTTCAGCCAACTATAGACCTATATCTAACCTTTCATTTCTCTCTAAGATCCTGGAGAAAGCAGTTGCTAAACAGCTGTGTGACTTTCTACAGAGCAATAGTTTATTTGAGGATTTTCAGTCAGGATTTAGAGCTCATCATAGCACAGAGACAGCACTGGTGAAAATAACGACCTCCTTATTGCATCAGACAAAGGACTTGTCTCTGTACTGGTTTTATTAGATCTTAGCGCTGCATTTGATACCATTAACCATCATATCCTATTACAAACACTGGAACATTTAACATCCTGAAGGCAAATGTGCCTTCAGGATGTTAAAACCTGGATGACCTGTAATTTTCTAATGTTAAACTCAGATAAAACTGAAGTTATTGTTCTGGGGCCTAAGCACCTCCGTGACCCATTATCTAAAGATATAGTTTCCCTGGATGGCATCGCCCTGGCCTCCAGCACCACTGTGAGGAATCTTGGAGTTTTCTTTGATCAGGACTGAAAAATCAGGAACATCCTGTCTAAAAATGATGCAGAAAAACTAGTCCATGCATTTGTTACTTCTAGGCTGGATTACTGCAATTCCTTATTATCAGGCTGCTTGAAAAAGTCCATTAAGACTCTTCAGCTGATCCAGAATGCTCCAGCACGTGTTCTGACAGGAACCAGGAAAAGAGATCATATTTCTCCTGTCTTAGCTTCTCTGCATTGGCTTCCAGTAAAATCCAGAATAGAATTTGAAATCATTCTTCTCACCTACAAAGCTCTTAATGGTCAGGCACCATCTTATCTTAAAGAGCTCATAGTACCTTACTACCCCACCAGAGCACTGCGCTCCCAGAATGCAGGGTTACTTGTGGTTCCTAGAGTCTCCAAAAGTAGACTAGGAGCCAGAGCGCTCAGCTATCAAGCTCCTCTCCTGTGGAACCAGGTTCCAGTTTGGTTTCAATAGGCCGACACTGCTTCCACATTTAAGAGTAGGCTTAAGACTTTCCTCTTTGATAAAGCTTACAGGTAGGGCTGGCTCAGGTGAGTCCCGAACCATCCCTTAGTCATGCTAAAAGCCCCGGAGATAGCCTGCTTCTGTAGGAGCTCCTGCAGGTCCACTAGAAGGACAAGGTTCAGCACCAGGGAAGACATGACAGTTTTCAGTATCCCGTTGTAACACTCTGAAAAGCGGGCATATGTTAACATGTAAATAGTTTTGGAAGAAAACGAGATAACTACTTATTTTGCACAAACATGTCAGTGCTCTTGAGTGTACATAGAATTATGTTATTAACTAAGAACAAATCCCAAATTGAAAGCAAAACTGTGAGTTTTAAGAAGAAATTTGTTCTTAAGAACAGTTGGTGGAAAAGGTCCATTGTCTTCTAAAGTTACATGCATTATTCTTTATTCAGATTGAGTTCCTGCACTTTGTCAGAGATCAGCTGTGCTTCTCTGGCCTCAGCTCTGAAGTCCAACCCCTCCCATCTGAGAGAGCTGGAGCTGAGTAACAACTACGACCTGCATGATTCAGGAGTGAAGCTGCTGTGTGGTTTTCTGGAGAGTCCACTCTGTAGACTGGAGACTCTGAGGTCAGTTAACTGACTCTGTTACTATTGTAGATCTGATGTGTTTAATTAACAATTGAATGTAATTTCTTTTCATATATAACTTCCATCCATAAAGTTGTAAATGTCCTTTTGTTCATATTTTCATGTTTCCGTTACTAAATTTAGTCACAAAGTCTTGTGTTTCTTAAAGAAACTGTAAAGTAAATGAATGTTTATAATTTTTGGTAAATGGTCACATCTGTATACAGAAGATCCTCTGAACTAATATTACTAAATATTTGGAGAAATATTTGTTTGCTTTCTGTTGATTTAAATGTGTTTTCATAATAATGTCTGATCATTGATATTGATCTTTTAGAACACACTAGGGCTGAACCTGAATAGTCAAAGATTCAATGATTCGATAGGAGGAGTCTGTTATGAACTGAGGATGATGCCATTTTGGCAATATGGGGTTCTCAAAGTCTGATTTTACATAGAACTACTGGTTTTCTCCCAGTAAGTTAATATAGAGCCTATTATGATATAAATCTCAGCATATAATGCTGTAAGTAATTATGTGAAAAGAAATTAGAGTTTAATAAATATTTTTAAAGTGCGTTAATAAATCCAAAATTGTAATTCTAACCCTTAACATCGGGCGCGTTGGTGCGCATGTGTAGGATAGCGTGTGTATAATTTATAGGGATAGAGAGACAGCGCCAGAAGCTCTGAGGTTGTGCAGAGTAAGCCATGAACTGTGTGGGACGTTCAGATCATTTATCACCATTGATGAACCACACAATGGAGGAAAACAGGATAACTACTTATTTGGCACAAATATGTCAGTGCTCTTGAATGTGCATAGAATTCTGTTATTACCTAAGAACAAATCCCAAATTGAAAACAGTGAGTGCCAGAATCTTCCTGGAAACAGCATGAATTTTAATAATTAATTTGTTCTTAAGAACAGTTGGTGGAAAAGGTCCATTGTCTTCTAAATTTACATCCATTATTCTTTATTCAGATTGAGTTGGTGCAGGTTGTCAGAGATCAGCTGTGCTTCTCTGGCCTCAGCTCTGAAGTCCAACCCCTCCCATCTGAGAGAGCTGGACCTGAGTAACAACTACCTGCAGGATTCAGGAGTGAAGCTGCTGTGTGGTTTTCTGGAGAATCCACACTGTAGACTGGAGATTCTGAGGTCAGTTCACTTACTCTCTGTTACTATTGTAGATCTGATGTGTTTAATTAACAATTGAACGTAATTTATGTTCATACATAACTTCCATCCATGAAGTTGTAAATGTCCTTTTGTTCATGAAGTTGTTGTCCCCATCAGCTTACTTGAGTGAAGTCAAAGTAAAGTTAGCAACATCAGCGATGATAACACCTTTACGACCTAAAACCTCCAAACCAAATGATGCAGAGTTTTTCAGGCATTTTTTGTAGAATAACCTCCCGAATCACAGCAACCACATTCCTCTTAGACAGAGAGGCAAGACATTATGTTAAATAAGAAAGAAAAGTGGCCTACTTAAAAACAACACCATGTCCTGAAAACAGGCCGGTAACACTTAATTTTAAGGTGCTTGGAATAAGCAGTAATTAACAGTTAATAAGACACTTATAGGTTCTTTTTTAGAAACTTGTTGATGGTTAATATACCTGTCATTAACATTAATAAGATGTTTATTAACATAAATTAGACTTTATTAGGGTTAATTACGGAAATTAATAGATTTGTTAATTCGTTGTAAGACACTTGTAGTGAACTTGTCTAATGTTTATAGACAGCTTATTAAATAAATGATTATTAATATTAATGAGACTAAATAAGTATTTATCAAAATATGAATGAACACATTTGTTATTTCATATTAACACCCTTATAAGCACTTCCTAGAAACTTGTTAACAAGTTATATATACCTTAGGAACCTTAATAAAATGTTTAACATTGATGAGTGTTAGTAATATCCTAAAACACATTTATTATTGCCTTGTAAGATATTTATGAGCACCACCCAAACAGAAGTTTGTTGCCCTATAAGAGACAGAGTCAGAGAGTCAGAGAGTCCTTCAGCAACAAACCTGCTAAGATTGAAGTAGATTGGGTGAACACTACTCGAGATATGTGAGTCAGTGAGATTGAGACATAAAGAATAAAATTGCTTGATATGTAGGCTACACTGAAAAAAATAAATCTGAGAAGGGGATATGTAATTAAATCTTTGATGTCCTGAACAGACTTCAGCTAAGGTGCGGCGACCTGTCCCCAAAATGATAACAGCCTTTAAAAAAGGGGCACGCCACACCAAATGAAAAAGCATTTGTACTCACCTGTTTGAATGGCATCCAACGAGCCCTGCATTGAGCAAAATCTTAGAGAATATCCTCAGTAAAAAATCTAAAACAATCTTATTTGGGAGCTTTGTGACCCTCTCCTGTGTTTTTTTTCTCTCTCCTGTCTCTTCTTGAAAGAACTTTTATGTTTGAATAGCATGCCTATTAGCTTGCACGTGTGCTCTGCTAGTCTACTTGTCAGATTTTGCGTTTCATCCGGTTTCTGGATTCTTGTCATTTTGTCACATGATCAAATAGAAACATAAAATTGGGCAGCCATACACATGTAACCCGGCAATATGTGACACGAATATACCAAAGAAAATAAAACATCTTTATTCTGTGGAATCACATTTTTTATACTTTGCTTGCTAAAGACTTTCGTGGGTAAAACTACTGACTGACACCACGGCAAAGGGCTATATTTGCATATTTGAGGGTATATACCCTATACCATGTGATCACATGATTAACTTAGGGATAGGAGGTAAGCTGGAAGTCTACTGTTTCATGATAAATTTAGATGCATTTTTTCCATTTAAATGAAAAAATCAAGCGGGGCCCGCTCCTTTCATGGGCCCTAGTGTGGCTGCACTGTCTGCATTGTAATGTTATGTCCCTGAGGAGAGCTGTAACTTGATTACAGCTATCATTGTTATAAAACTATGAAAGAACTTATCATAGCATCGACCTGAACTCCATTCAGAAAACAAGCATTTTAAAAGTTGTTTGCTTGTCATCTTGCTGACAGACCTGACACGACTTCATATGTTTAGCAAATCGCCATCATGATGTTGTTATTTTGGCATCAGTTTAATCCATTTATTTCAACAAAATCACAGAAAAAGGTTTGTTTTGGGTTTATACAGCTATTGTAACGGCGGGTTGTGTTTATTTGTGTTATCGCATTGTGTGTGAGAACGCATTCGAGTAGTCATGCGGTCATACTCAGGCAATAAATGTGTGAAACTGGCATTAGGGTCAGCACAAATCGATAGACTCTGCTAAGTATTTACGCTACGGTAGTATTTTTCGATAGTATTAAGCTACTCTGTGTCTAGATAAATAAAATAAAATGCCTTGTTAAGAGCAGGTCTGCTATTTAAACAGAAGAGAACGAGCTTATTGCACAACTGATCCAGTTCTAAAGACAACTGAGGATGAAGCTCACACTCTGTGTGTTGATGGAGATGACAGTGGTGATGAGGAGAGGCTAAATCTCTACTTTGAATTGAGCATCAGAAGTACTGGGCATTTGTTAAAGAGCTCTGTAAAGTTTTGTATTAACTTGTAAGTCTTATTCATTTCATATTGACCATTTTGGAATTCTATATAAAACACGTCTTAGTGTTTTTCATGAAACAACACGTGATTTTTATGAATTAGGAGATACAGAAAAAAATGAAAGTAACAAAAGAAACAACAAAATTTTATTATTATTCCAGACTGGCCTGAGATCTGCAGCATGTTATTGATCCGTGTTGACATGAATAGGTGTATGAATGTTGTGCTGACATTTGGATGATGTCTGAAAAGGCTGACATTATGATGATCCACAATAACAAGTCCCTCTACTCATTTTAGGGAAAAGCTCATTGATTAGGACATAGTAATGTTGAGCTCCACATTTATAACCTGAACACATCTGATTGGATTAGAATGTTTTTTTATCTCCATCATTAAATCTTTATTCAGATTGAGGGACTGCACTCTGTCAGAGATCAGCTGTGCTTCTCTGGCCTCAGCTCTGTATTCCAACCCCTCCCATCTGAGAGAGCTGCAGCTGAGTAACAACTACAGCCTGCAGGATTCAGGAGTGAAGCTGCTGTGTGGTTTTCTGGAGAGTCCACTCTGTAGACTGGAGACTCTGAGGTCAGTTCACTTACTCTCTGTTACTATTGTAGATCTGATATTTTTTTTAAACAACTGAATGTAATTTATGTTCATACATAACTTCAATCCATAAAGTTGTGAATGTCCTATTGTTCATAAAGTTGTTGTCCCCATCAGCTTACTTGAGTGTAGTGAAAGTAAAGTTAGCAACATCAGCAATGATAACACCTTCACAACCTAAAACCTCCAAAGTGAGGGAGAATTTCACTCTTCACTCGGCCAAAAAAACTGCAGCTGACCTCTCCTGGCAGGGAGCGCACCAGGTATGATGGAGCACCTGAGGAGGAGGCACGTAAATTATCTGTATTACTTAAGTGTATTTGCAAAGTAAAGAAGTTAAAGAGAAAGTTATAAGGAGCATGGCCAGTGCTGTCTTTGACTAATTCTGAAACATCACTACAAACAGCTGAGTGCAGAGGAGGAGTCCACTGTGCTGAAATGATGCAGAGTTTTTCAGGCCTTTTTAGTATAATAACCTCCCGAATCATGGCAACCACATTCCTCTTAGACAGAGAGGTTAAGACATTATGTTAAACAAGAAAGAAAAGTGGCCTACTTAAAAACAACACTATTTCCTGAAAACAGGCCGTTAACAGTTAATTTAAAGGTGCTTGGAATAAGCAGTAATTAACAGTTAATAACACCATATAAGATGCTTAGAAACACAAATAAGTCCATATAAGTGTTAATTAAAGCACAATTAACTTATTATTACCTATAAGACTCAGATTTTGCGTTTCATCTGGTTTTTGGAGTCTTGTGGTTTTGTCACAAGATCAAATAGAAACATAAGATTGGGCAGCCATA